GTATGTGCCAAATCAAAATTAACCTGATAATCTTCACACGGAAATCGGCACCACTCCACCTTAAGTCTCGCAGAAACCTAGACAAGAATGCAGCCAATGTTGGCACACTGGAACGCGCAAAATTAAACGTTACTTAACTGCCTCCCGGCCTTCAATGTGGCAGCCCGAGTTGTTATTCTTTAATTAACTCCAATATAAGAAGAACAACAGGTCTGCAAGAGCAAACACTGCAAGTTAATCACTTAATTACACGTGCATCTATCATCAATAGTTACAGTAACATGTAATGCGTAATACAGCTGTTGATACGACAGGGCAGGTTCAACCCATTGCAGTCGGCGTACCGGATGTTCCACAGCACTGAGACGGCTCTACAAAAGATCACTGCTGACCTCTGCAAGATCATGGATGACCGGTGCCTTGATCTCGCCGCTGCCTTCGACACCGTCGACCACGAGATATTCATCAGGCGGCTAAGGTCAAGGTTCGATATATCGGGTACGGCACTGGGGTGGATTGAGTCATACCTACATCGATCACAGTTCATCAAGCTGGGTAACAAACAGTCATTGCCTATGCCCTGCCTAGTTGGCATACCTATTTTCAACATATGTCTCTCCGATCACTGATGTCATCTTATGGCATAACATCAAGTTCCATCAATATATGCTGATGACACGGAGGCTTGGTGGTGAATGATTTTCCAATGCTGTAGGATATTATTTCAGAAGCCACTGGAACTTTGCACTTTGAAATCTAGATTTTAAACGGATTCCTTTAGAACTGCATTTTGTGTTTCATATGTTGTCCTTCCCCCGCACCTTCGATTAGCACAGTTAGCTACGTACGTTCAGAAAAAAAGTTCAACTAAACATTCATACATTATAAGACAAATTCAGACAAATCCTGGGTGCTATGAATATAAGTAGCCTTAAGAAAGCAGTTACAAATGTAAAGTGTAGTAAATACTGTCGCGATGACATTTATTCTACTGTATGTCTTAGTTGTCACAAGCATTTGCATTAAATATACACCACCTATATGATTTACGGGAACATCTGAATATTGGACAGCCTTTCCCAAACATTTATAGATCTGGGTATATAGCAACGCAATTAGTTGGGCCATATTTCCCTGAATCTGAAAGTGAGTGGTACATACTCATTAATCATTTATATTCCCTTTCATGGTCTGTGTCCTTGGAAGTGGCAATCACTCAAAGATGGAAATGAGGTTCGCATACATTCAAGCAGGCACAAGCCATGGACCAAAAGGTTTAGCTTTAATAGTTCCACATTTACATAAATATTAGCCTCGTCTAAAGTGTGTATCCCAGTCTTATTAATTATCATCCATAAGCCTGCATTGCCTTATAGCAATTTATCCTACAGGAATCTATAAGCCTATTTAACAACGTATCGGAATGCTTCAGGCATCCTAGATTTTTCACATTTGAACAACAGTTAGCTTTCCTGTGAGGAAATATTCGTAGATTAAAGTTGCTATATAAAACAGTTGACCGAACACAGAATAGCTTGACGACATAAGAGATTGGTGCCAGAAAGACATACACTACTTGAGCATATATTGGCACAAGACAAGGAGATTGGAAACAAATGGCGAAATGTGCAGTGGACACCTACAGGCTATCTGCCCGTGGATTATGATGACAAAAGGGATTTAACTACGAAGTGTATCACACTACAATGATACGTAATGTACAAATTGTATTGTTACTTTATTTAATTATTAGAGCTGGGCTGTCTGATTGCTTAAGTAATTGAGTATATCGATGATTGGTTCCATTGCTGGACGAATCGGTTAACACGACAGTAGCTGGGTGGCCAAAAAGTCTCACCCACGTGTGACGCTGGACGGGAGATAATGGGAGGGGCCTAATGACGTCATTTGTATCATGAGCCGCATCACGTTGGGCATAGTTTGTAGGGGCGGCTGCTATTTTTAAAGAGTCCGAGTAAGCAGAGGACAAAAAAGGTGTCGATTGTAAGAATTTTTTGATTGATTGACAAAACTAAATCATCGTAGTTCTAAACATTTTATATCTCCATATATATAAAAGACAAAGTTGTGATTATGTGTGTCTGTTCAAAATGTTTAGCGTACTTCCCGACATGCAACAAACTTGAAATTTTCCATGTGGATACTTTCCAGACTGTACACCATGCCAAAATAATAGAAAGTAATATTTGGGGGGGGAGCTCAATAATGCATATATTTTTTGCACTGCAAGTGAGCTGTGACGTCAAATCTGTCATGTGACCCGCGCACGTGGAAACGTAACGCATTGTCGTGTAGTGTTTAGCGCTACGAACCCGGCGACCCGAGTTCGATTCCCGCTCACGGCCACCACCGGTGACGATTATTTGAACCGGTCCTGGGCCTCCCCTAGGTCGACTCAACCTCAAACGAGTAACTGGTGTGGTGTGTGAACATCGCCACTGGGGAGACAAAGGCGGCCGGGTGTGGTGAATCCAAGTCCCGGGCAAAGCCGGGTAGTACAGCTAGTAGTGTATATACACAGTGTGTTTCCCTTTATTATATGCCATAGACATACACTACTGAGTAGATAAGCACTAATTCAGTTTCATATCGAGTAAAATCAGTTGAAGGCAATAGGCTTTTTTTTCTCTGGGGGAATGATACTAAACATAGATGATGGTATATTTTTTTAGTGACATGATGGAGGCACTGGATTGATCTGCCTGTCTCCCATCTGTTATTAGATTTAGACATACTGTACTGATTTCCAAGTAACCATAGCAGAAGAACTTGTACACCTGCAGTGACCAAATCAGATATAATCTATCAGCACTTTAACACCTCATCGAATATCCATTGTATGCTAGTGTGCATATTTTATGCAAATTTTACACTTAGGTAAATTGAGTGCACAAAACTCTACGTAAGTGCCAAGTAAAAAACAAGAAAGAAAACGAGAAGAACAATAAAATAACAAAATAGATTTCTCAAATGGACATGCAACCTTGAATTATGACAATTCAAGGATTAGATGGAAGGGGCCGAGAGTGAATCGTTGCGCGTGTAATATTTTACACACAAAGCTTAGTAAACCAGATGTTATTCGAAAGGTAATGTAGTGAACGTAAACAATAAAAAAGACATATATATTAAAATGTGTTTTCTCACATTTTGATTATAACTTTGTCGGAAATAACCATTAACTTTGGGGTGCAATACAACACCTGGCCATATATTTTTTCCTGTGGCATAATTACAATGACCCTTGGCCTGGTGGCTAACGATTGCAAATACTGTAGGATATTACTTGTATACACTCCATCCTGTAATTTACTTTTCAACGGAACAAATTACACCGATTTTAATCAATAACCTACCGATAATTCACGATCTAAAACATTAATAACAAATAATATACACTATTCTTAATCCATGGCTAAAAGCAGGGGTGCTGAAAAGTCCAATCATTGTTTAACCATGATGCCAGTGCAAGGGGGCATGTCAAGACGATGTTTTCACCAAGCATTATGAAATGCCACAAGATTTTAAAATTCCGTGCTAGGATTTGGCCAAGAGGCAACAATTTAAACCCTAGCTCCCTATTGATACATACGCATTATCTCCAACTGGGACGAGAAATGTGTGGTGTATTGAAAGCCATTTAGACAGCTAACCTGAACAACAATTACGATCCAACCCAGGGGCCAAAACATTTAGTAATTTTTATGAAAGCAAATGCACACTGTAGCAAAACACTGCAGTCGTCATAGAAAAAAAGCAAGCTGGCAGTCACCATCTCTTACCAAGTACAGCAAATTCGCAACAAGAATAGATCAGGACTCATTCAAAAATACTGTAATACTATACATGATTGGTGGTATGATTCATCTTCTGCCCCTTTCCCTGGCATTTCATGGATGCGAGTCATTTACATTTGTTTTGTCCCTGTACACGTAGCTTCTCGTGGTTAGCGCCGAACAATACCAGAGAGCGAGACAGCACAACCACAAAACAACTTTGCAGCGTTATGTGTTTTTACTTTCATGAACCTAAGCACAACTCGAAGCAGACATTGTGCATTTGGAGCCTTAAGAATCTCTATTTATTAACAAATCGACGCATCATTACCCTGCTACAATACATAACTAAATTTGGCTTATTTAATTTGTGGAAATTAACTGTTACTTGTGGGGGGAAGGAAAATATTTGGCCACAACTCAGCATTATGAGTCATAATTACAATGTAACCGAGGCCTAGTTGGCAAATAGTAACAGACACGTTGGAAAGAACATTTATGAACGCTACACATGTGCACTTTGTGACTGCAGGAGTTAACTGTGTCGGAGCTTATTGGTCAACTCCAGTTAACTAAAGTTAGGCACAAGACACTCAGCCACGGTCCCCCTATAATAAAGAAGAAAAAAGCATCCACCGCATCTGAATTATCAAGACCTATGTTACCTTATTTGCCAAATCCAACATTAATATTACCTATTTGTTCCACAATTAGTTAAATCCTAGATGAATAACAATAATTAGAAATTGACTTGAACTGTATTCCCAACAAGACACTTTGTTTCTAAAAACAACCCGTTGTGACCTGCGACTTCAACCGAGCATATAAATGGACATAATCACACACTTGTACCTACAAGGCAGGTACATAGCAAGATAAAAATAGAGTTTGTAACAGTGTTTGCTTTATTAATGTACTTGTCTGAAAAGTGATCGCACTCGCACCATGCTGGTCCTGCATACTCACATGACACAACAGCCCCCCCACCCAAGCTGAATTAATTTCCATTCTATGCAATATTTATGCACAGCTCATGCGTTTGCATTAAACGCAAATGCCAATTTGCATTTAGCTTGGACAGCCAAAACAACTACACTGGAACAATTTCACATACGATATTAAACGGTATTAAACATTAGCGTCCACGGATTACACAAACAAGCCCTTTCACAATATTTCTATTTGAACTGTGATGCTGCTTACCCTGTAGCTTAGCAAGTGTCGGAGAATCAGATATGCTGTTGTCAACGTGGCCCTGTTCGTCGCCACCAAGGACCGGCCTTGGGGAGTGCTGCTCTTGGTCCGAACGTTGTTCTCCCGGTGACACGGGGAGGCACTCGGCGGAGCTTGCGCTCCTTCGCTCCTCTGCTTTCCTGCTGTGGCCTGACCCGCACAGCCGGCCCAGTGTGTTCATGCTCAGAAAAGACGGCATCCTAAAAACTACTCGCCACTACCAGCCTTTATTAAACAGAACTGTCAGATAAATAAAATACGGTAATATTGAGAAAGTAAAAAAAACGAAACTCCTAAAATTATGGTCATCAAATGCTTAGAATCTATCGGAGACCATTAAGTGTACGGTGGGACGTCACTAACTAAATGGCGTAGTGCGTTTCAGAGCCTCTGTCCCTATTACTCAATCTCCTAGCAGAGGCTTATCAGATTAAACAAGGCCATGTTAAGTCAGCTGACATGGCTTTCATTCTAATTCTAGACAGTTATCTGGAATTAGACATTGAACCCTGACTACACGATGTACCTGACCAACTATTCCGGTGGCAGCCAAATGCAATAATCGATAAAAGCGATTTGCTATATTATCAGCAAAATTTGTCAACAAAAAAACAGTGCAATAAGAGGCAAATTAACAAGGCGTTAAATAACATCATTTGCTAAAATCGTAGTCATTTTAAAGAACACATTTCATCCTTTAAAAAAAACACAATTAATTTGTATAATGATATAAATGTTCACAAAATTATAAATAACTCTTATTCTAATTTTAATTGTGCTTGCCGTGCAGCTTTGCACTTCACTTACACTGTATATATTGTGCGTTAAAACCAGTAACGACAACTACGTAGGTTCCTTTAGAAAACACACTCATGGCTTTCTCAAGGACAATCCTGTAAACCTTTATTACCGTATAAATTATGCAAAACACATACCCCCAGCTATTGTACAACATTTAGTGCTGCAGGGAGGGCGGCAAAAACACTGCGCACTTGCACCTGACAAGTTGAAGCATAACGCCGCGCAAAAAGGTAAGCGTACAGGTATTTTACTGTGTATGTAATTCAACACGAACCTCCGCAGATGAAGAAGTAAATGATGAGGACAGCTCCTGCTATGACTGTTGTAATAATAAGAACAAGGTTGTCCAAAGGATCGAACATTTCACAGCATACATTTACCTCTACCCCGCCACCAGCACACCTTTCAGCCAAGCCACTCTGCTTCAACACCGGAAGAAACCTGGCACTCACAGCGTGGTACGTCATGCAACCATATAAACAAAGGGGTGTTCTGAAACCCCAGTGAGATCCATCCCACCATAAACCGGTTTTTCATTCAGAAGATACAGTATTATTTTTTGTGTGCCATCCAGCCAATTCAAGACCAGCCACATTTTCTACTTTTTGTAGACACGCCCAATGGGTTTTAAAGCTGACATGGAAATACCGTAACATCTAAGCAACTTTTTGCGTCATAATTGTGGCGGTGGGTGCTCGAAATTTACTTGCAGCTAGGTAGAGTACTTGCCTATGGTTCAATCGCCTGGAATGCGGCTTGATCTTGCCAGATCTGGGGACCTGAATCGTGCTTGGATGGGCAACATCCGAGCCACGACGGGTTGTTAGAGGCAACGTTGTGGGCAGGAGAAGGCAGTGCCACAAAATCCAATATTGTATGCTTCCCGTGCCTTTACCAACCCACACTGAATAGCATGGTGAAATATGGTCAAAAAACACCCACGACCAGCCACAAGTGTGGGGAGACCTTAATCCAGCAGTGGATTTACAAAAAGTGCTGTTCCACGTACAGTACTGTAATGGAACACGCCTGAAGTAAATACCTGTAATGAGTGTTAATGGCAGCAATAACAAATTAAAATGTGTTAGGCTGGTGGCAGATCGTAGTTGGCAGTGGCTCCAGTGCAAATATTTACTAAATGAGGTCTCCTGTTGTAAGCTTGGGGCATGGGTTCCTCAGGTCCGTGGGTCACCGGTGCAAATGCACCACCTACACATTGGACAGCTCTGCCACTGAGTTCGGTCTACCAAACCTCAAATTACCCTAGTTCTCTGCAGAGGTTGCACAAGTCTACTAGTACATGGTATCAGTAATTAATTTCCTTATTCCGTTAGAAATATAGTTGGGGGGGGGGGGGGTTGGTAAGAACAGGCAGAATAAACACTGTCCAGCAAATAAAAGGCAATGAATGAAATTACTCAGCAGGGTTGACCACAACATTGTGAGATCCAAACTTCGCACAGCCCAACACTATTGCACAACGTGTGTATCGGCCACCGTCAGTGTTTATCACTTGTGGGGTTTTTTTCACAATTTCTCAGAGCGATAGGCGCTGATAAACCATGGCCACGTGTTCCTTAAACCACTGATCCCTCTCTTCTATTCCGACTGTCTTTATACTATGCAGGAATATTATTTCGCGTAAATGAAATTCATACAAAATGTAAATAGTGCAAGGATTATGATGACTAATGCATACTTTCTAGCAGCTCTTTCATGGTATAATGCAACTGTAAAATATAAATGTAAGCACAAAAAAGAGCACTCTGAAGCACTGACACGTTGCCACTTGAGTGACGCTGAAATAAGGGTAGCAAATGTGCTGGAAACAGCCACCAGGGCGATTACATCGGCAGACCCTCGATAAACATGCACAACATGGCTCCATGACCATTAATGTGACTAACACATCCTCTACAACAACACTGTTACTGGGCCGCCAGTCTTGTGACGCAGAAGGTGAAAATGAGACCCTGAAATACCAGACCCAGTGGCACTGGTGCATTCTACGTACGTCGTGTACTCGCAAGTGCTTATTGCACTACACGAGGAACCGTGCTAACGGAAACGGCGATTGATATCTGAAGCCAGTTTGTAACCCCTCTCCTACACCAATCCACGCCACCCAGTGTGATAGAATATGGCATGGGGAGGCTTTCATCCAGCAGTATACATACCATATACAGGGGAATACAGTGTTTTATAAAACAGGATACACACTATCGTGGTGCTACGTGGCGGGATGAAGAGGTCATTGCCGTAAATCCTCTTTTGTACGGTGCTTGCTGTGCCAAAACATCTATTCTCCCCACCTGAATTAACCCTCACTGTTGAGTATGGCGAAATGACCCGCACGACCCGCAGGACCTGCATGACAGGGGGGAGGGCCTAATGCAGCAGTGGGTTTGGATGTATTTACAATAGTATGGCTAAATATGATACTGTCGTGGTTAGGGCCTGATGAATTAAAGTTGAACTCAGAGGACGCAAAGCTCTGCAAGAGAAGTGTCGAAACGGAGTAGGTGGGAGCATTCCGTGTGGGGGGAACACGGGATGGTGGGTAATGGAGAAGACAGCCAAATGGGATTCGATGGGAGACATGACTACTTACTTAACGAGCACGTTCGATACTGCAAAACCAACATACGATTTCACAATATTCACATGACCATAACTTTATGGCAGCCATTACCAAGGAATTTACAGTTTATTACACTACACTATATGGTTCATATTCCATCAAAATCAAACACGGATGCCACATACTTTCTGGCCCGAAATAAATCTGGCAAAAAAAAAGATTTCAACATAAATCGCGTAGTGCAATGGGAAATGTTATTAGCCCTAAAAAATGTTTACGTTGCCGTGTCCGCAATATTATATTCTCCAAGGAATCCCGAAACTTTGACCAGCCAGATGAAACTAGCCACAACTGCACCAAAATACACATGATCACCATGACTCAGGCCATGACACGTGAGACGGCCACATACTCGAGCTCATTGGGAAGCTTAGCGTCATGTCCTTGGCAAAGTAAGGTCAGACCCTTGGAATGAATGCTAGGGTTCGCATTCTAAAAGCATCAGCAAAGCTCTTGGGACCACGGAATGCCATCACAACCCTCTCTCACGGAGTGCATTTTTATGATTTACTGTTAAAGATTTATAAAAAAAAAAACGACTGCTTTAAATTGCAGCCAGAGTGTTGGCGATAACGCGACATCTTATTACGTTAAAAAAACTGGGACTGGGCTCCAGATCGATCGTATTATCACAGATTTCCATTTTACACTTATCGTGCACCATTTATGCAAAAATGAAAAATGTACTGCATTGGAAAAAGATTACCTCCACTCTGTGCATCATCCCACTAATACAGATACATACTGCAATTTAAACGTATCAGAGTTACCGTAAGGCAAGTAACTTACAATCTTACCGCCTAACCCCACTTAATATTCAGGGAATATTAAATGACTGTCGTGTCATGTACACGGCCCAATATTTTTGTTCAAAAGGACTTCAGGGACCAATCACCTGCGCATAACACACTGGTGTTTCATTTGAAACTTCCTCAATCTGTCCATGAGGACTTAAGCCGTGTATCACCTTACGGTGTACAACAGCAAAGTGGTGCAGTGGAAATACCACCGGCACCAAAGCAGCAATCCACCCCCTACTCTGCCAAGTGCAGCAGTAGCTCTCAAAATATCCCACAGCCACATGTGTTAGGGGCTGCCCGACAAAGTGCATCAAGAGCCAACTCCGAGCAGTACAAATAGATATTACCTGCTATCACCATCGTTACCACTAAGAAACATGCTCCCTAACAATAACATGAAATAAAAAGCAATTGCTGGTACGATTATACCTGACCATTGTTACTCTGTCAAGATCAAAAATAAGCTAGAGTAATACTCGGGCACCCTTTGTTATAGCTAAATACTACAGCAGAACTCATCCGCAGTGATGTGGGCAGGAACATTGCAGATTCTTTAAATGTCATCTTGTCCGTAAATATACTCTACTTATTCTTAGGTGTTTAGAATTATACTCTACTTGTACGTGAAAATCTGCAGATAATCACGGATAACAGCAAGAATACGGCTGCGGATCAGTTTGCACGGACCATGCATCTCTTGAGGACTATAGGAGTAGCAAGTAATAGGGTCACTGATAATAGGAGTTATACTCTACTCGATACGCATAAACATGTAGTGTGTATCAGTGGAGATATGACATTGTGCTATAATTATGGTAAATAGTATTTGTATGATTTCGATATGGTAAGGAAAGGTACTACATTTCTATGTTTGTGCTTTGTAAGATTCCCCGAACGGTCCCAATATCGAAGCGAATTCATACATTTCTCAACACAAAGCGAGTGCACCATGTATTGCAGAAAGGCAGCACTGTACAGGATAATGAAATGGAATTGGATGCCCACAAGAGGACACAGTAAGGGCACGTCTTGGGGCTCTGAAATAAATTAAATTATGCTGAAACACACAAACCACGGACATCCTTCACTTTGACATTAATCTGCCACGTGCACAGTTTTTTGCGAGATATTCCCATCAGTACTGTATTAATAATCAATTCAGTCTTCAAAATAAAGCACTTTCAGTTGTCGAACTTTAATTACCATTTAGCAGAGAAGTTTCAATAAGATATCCAGCACAAGGTTTAGTGATAGCAATAGGGTACTATACGAAGAGTCGTGGATCATTCCAGCCTTACATTGCACGCATTATGGCATAGTTGGACATCATCGTTACCCCAGGGCAAACGCTATGCATATTTATAAATAACAATGCATATGTATGGCCACACCTGTGGGGACATCTTGAAAACACACACAATATGAAGACGCCACAATAACGCTGAAGTGCAATACGCAATACTGTACAGAACCCGGGCATGTGCATTGTATTTGAGAACGCTACTGCACATACGGTATTTGGTCACTCAACGCTGTACCAAAGAGCCCCACAGAGAGCATGTTGAAATACATGGGGTTGGGTTACTACACACTGACGTGATGGAAAAAAAACTGACCCAAGGACATTAATACAAAAACATCTCCCCGTGAAATGTCTTTTGCTGACAAAAAAGCAAAGTAATTAGGAGATCCCCACGGCGCATCTAACAAACTGTTGCCCAATTTAGTTCCAGAGTTTTGTTTTCATACGTTAGTGAGACGTGGTGTCCTTGTGTTGGTACAAAAGCCACAATCTTACGACGGGGAAAATCCTGATGTTTCGTTTGAGATCACAAAAGCAGGAAACTCAAACATAACAAGGCACCAACCGACAATTGTCTTATAGAAAAGGGGGGGGACTATTATGGGGAAAATGGCTTGACTGTGCCAAAGACTATATGTACCCATACACTCCATGTGATGTGGTATTTAGCAATACAGCACATATTGCATTTTCTAAAAGTGTT